CAGGGCAGCTGTAGCTACATTGTAGCTCATCCCCACCAGTGTGTGAATTTGTGTGTGAATGGGTGAATGACTGATTGTGTTGTAAAGCGCCTTGGGGTGTTCCAGGACTCTAGATGGCGCTATATCAAATGCAGGCCATTTTTACCATCATTACTTTTCATTTAAATTGCAGTACAACATATGTGTGATCCAGGGCCTAAGGCAAAGCGGATTAGAAAATAGCGTTGAGCCCCGTTGACTTGCATTCATTTTTCTAGGGCTCAATGAGCCGACCGGAAAGGGAGGAGACTTAGGCTCCCTATGAAGGGAGGACCCAGGGAAGTGCGGAAGTGCAGTGCTTCAGTGAGAAGGTTAACCAGATGGTCCAATGGTTGCTTTCGGCCCCAGCCATGGTATCAGCGGAGGTTCTTAGACAAATGCAAGAGAACCGCTTAATTATTCATTCATTTGTTTTTTCAGTTTTTTAAAAATCTTCACAATATATTTATAGCTATAATAAGTTATAACATTCTTAGGAGGTATGAAGAAACGTTTTACGCTAGCTTGCCTTGCAGATTTACCATTGTAGCTTTAAACTGTTAGCTTTGCGTTTCCATCCACCCAGAGAGATCTCATCTTGTTGTCGGTGACATCATCAGCTCTTGTTGTCAGGTGAAACACAGCTCCCCAAAAACATGTCCTCAACTTTTCACTGACAGCTCTAGCCACGCCTCTTTCTCCGCTACATTCCCAACTTTCCAGGAGTTTGTCAACCGATGTTTTTCTATATTTTCCGTATTTCATGAAAACCATCATAGCTGAGTGGTAAGGTGTACAGTAGATACTACTGCCGAAACGGTGCACACTGATATCCTGCAACAAAACATATTATGATAAGCCTCCGAGTGTTTCACCTGTAAACAGCAGCACGGCACACATTCAGGGTCATTAGGTGCATGCTCAAGGTCTAGTTGTTTATTTGTGTACAGATACACATGGAACTGACTGTCTTTAGTTCTGAAACACAATCGTTTAGCATTTTTCATTATGCTGCTAAACTGTGATAAGTTGAGTCAGGGTTGGAACATTTTCCAGGTCGAAAGAGAGGAAAACAGAGGCAAGAGGTCAAAATGGCAGGGAGAGAAAAAGTGGGCTTTCTAAAATTCTGAACAATGTTTTATCAACTTCTTGTTCCTGGTGTGAGGAAAGCAACACCAGCTCAGTCCATTAGCACCAGGCCTGGTTGAATTCAGGGGGTCTCTGGTCCATCACCTCCAACACAAGAGCTGTGAGAAGGAGAAGCTGGTTTGAGTCATGTTCAGGATCAGCCCTTGAGTTAGGCGTGTCTGGAACACATCCAAGAGGCATCAAATGTCGGAACCACCTCAGCTGACTTCTTTTGATGAGGAGGAGCATCTCTACTCTGATCTCCTCTCTTTATCTGTAGGACTGAGCCCGACTGCCCAATAGAAGGAGATGATTTCAGCCCCTTCTATCTGGGATCTGCAGGTAGAAGGAGCAAAGCTCTCATTACAACAAACATCCTTGCATCACTAGTGAGTAAGACAACCTCGGAGAAAGCATCCCAACCACGAGTTACCCTATAATCCTGGAGGCTCTCAGGTGCTCCCTGATATGACCTCTCATGACCAAATGACCTCACGGGTCAGACGATGAAGGAGGACCACGACTAAACAGCTGCCTGGCCTGTAAATGGGAGGCCTTACTAAAGCCAGGGTTCGTCGTGATCAACTGCTGGTTGAACTTTGGCTGCTTTGGTCCACCTTCAGTCAGTTATCTCCACATCGTGTGAAGGCTGGGTGCTGTTGTAAGTTCGGGGGCCTGGGCTTCCTGATCTCTGGCTTGGTGAACTGGTTTAGTTTTTTAATGTGTGAAGAAAACATTTAGGAGACCTTTGGGCTGTATAATAATAAATATTTTGAATTTTGATCTTGGGTTTGAGCTGCAGTCACTAAACCAGTTTTTAGCTGTTTTGGGGAAAAACACTCCACACTTGTGGCTCCGAGGTCGGATTGGTGGGCGTGTCCAGGATGTTTATGGTGATCGGGTCAAACCACTCTCATCAAATCACACAACACTGGCCTGTTCTTGTTAAAGGGACCCGTGCAGCACCTTTCACCTTCATCCCGCCCCTCCGCTCACATCATCACACACTACACATGTTGATGGTGTACACAAGCTGACAAAAGGTAGCGGTTGTGACTGGGCGTGGTGACGGTGATACACGAGCTCTATCATTAGGACAACGTCAGGTTTAATCCATCTGGACGCCCCACAAAGCCTAATGACAGGGTGAAAGTCACTGTCACGTGAATGTGCTGAGCTAAAACACAGGAAATGAGAGCTGTTGTTGTGCAAATTATCACCGACGTTGGATCAGGAGCAGCTTACAAAAACAGTCTGGTTCTCAGCAATTAACTGAGCTTGTGCTATCACGTTGGGATGAGGAAAGGTGAGAGGCACCACAGCTAATGAGAGCTGCTGCGTTTTTATCTACAACAGGAATACCTTCTCAGTGGCCTTGTGGCAGAGTGTCCACCCTGGGAGATAAGGTTCAAATCCCGGTTGGGTCATATCAAAGACTTTAACAATAGGACCCAATACCTCCCTGCTTGACACTCATCTTTAAGTGGTTTGATTGGGGGGGGGGGGCTTACACCACCAAATGGTTCCAGAGCGCAGCCACTGCTGCAGCTCACCGCTCCCCACGGGGATGGGTCAAATGTGGCGATGAACTAATGGGACTTGAATAAAACCTATTCCAACTCTCATCTCAGTTCTGAGTTCCTCCCAGTCGCTTCTCTTCAGGTCATAACACATTAATTCAGATCTTCCCTTCTAATGTGTGGCAGTCAGACTCACTGAAGAAACAAATCGTAGAAACAGGTTTGATTACATTCACTGAGTTTGTGGTTTAGCACCGAAGACTTGGAGAGGTGAAACTGGAAAAATTAGAATATCGTGCACAAATCCAATTATTTCAGTGATTCACCTTAGACTGAGAGACCATCTAAAGGCTCAGGAACTTTTTGCAGGTGTTTTGGATTCATTATAAGAGTCTAGAATTATGTTGAACCTGTTAACGATGGTCTAATTGTCTGAGATTTTGAATGTGGGTCTTGTATCAACTGTAAGCCACAATCATCACAATTACAACAAATTAATAGGGCTGCACGATATTAGGCAAAACCTGCGATGCGTGATAACGGTAATTAATATCGCGATGACTTGAAATAAATAAATAAATGTTTAAGAACTAAAAAATCAAAAACGTAGAAATTAAGACATTTATAAAAATGGGAAAAGTAAAAATTGTGATCAAAAGATGTAAAGACAGGGAAAAAGGAAGTGAACAAGAAAAGGAAATCAGTGGATCCTGGGAAACGCAGAACTGGCAGAACAAAGCTAACTCAGGTCTTTGCTAGCCATCCAAGTTAATTGCTGGCCGCCTAGCAGGCGGGCATCTAACCTGTAACAACCCACCCGATTGGCCAAATGGTTAATTTGTCAAAAACTTTATGTTTCTGTCTGACGGACAAAATGCATTGTGTGTATCAAACATCTGATTCATTGCGGGGTTTTTTTTCTGTTCTTCGCGAAATGCTTATTGCGCAAGCCGATATTGCGATGACGATACTTTTCCGATGTATTGTGCAGCCCTACAAATAAAGGCTTAAATAATCTGGATTTAACTTTGAGTCTATCTTGTGTGTTAGTGTCACCTTCTGAGTTGAATTACAGAAATAAACAAACGTTTGCACCATATTCTAATTTTTCCAGTGAACCATGTGACTTTTCTTGTCCTTGAGGTGATATTTAAAGGTAAAGCCACCATATGTGGAATCCGGACCATTTGCACCTACACACTCATGTTTACATTTAAACAAACACACACCGTGTGAGAACCCACATGGCTGTGCGCTGCTGGGCAATCATACATGTGCATGCATGAAGTGATACCACCCACAGAACATGGCTAGAGAGTCAGATATGTGTAATCTCTGCATGAATTGGTCTTAGACAGGTAAATAAATGATAAATGACCTGCACCTTTATAGTGCTTTTCAGAGTCAGAGGGCTCCAAAGCGCTTTACACTACAGCGTATCATCATTCTTCCTCCATTCACACACATTCACACACTGATGATGATGAGCTACACTGTGCCACAGTAGGGCACACTGACAGGGGCGAGGCTGCCGAGCACAGGCGCCACCGGTCCCTCCGACCACCAGCAGGCAAGGAGAGTGAGGCGCCTTGCCCAAGGACACGACTGCAACAGTCTGAGCAGGGCAGCAGGTGAGTGCCAGGTGAGCTTGGCTCAGGTGCTGTAGGTCATTTCCCCCCTGCAACATCTTAATTCAGATGTGCTATGTGTGAATGTGGTCGCTGTGCATGTCTGAGTTTCATATCTGATTCTCACTGTAGTATGAAGGTGGATGTAAAGAGCGGGCTTCACAGGTCAGACGGGTCGAAAAACAACCGTGTTAAAAACAGTAGACTTAGCTCGTGATGGGATGAAATGAAAAGTATTGTGCATGCAGTAATGACTATTTAGTGGAATCATCATTACTGAATGGTAGGTTTGAGCTCCGGCGTGCACCTTAACCATCCCAGAGAATTACAAATCGCTGAGGGAAATAAACATGTTTTTGTGGAGTTTTCTCATCAGTCACAGTTAGACTGGAGCTAAAATAAACCTGATTCTGAGACAGGTGTTAGGTGTCCTCTCCTGAGGGATGTCCCTGTTCCATGTTTCTGTTAGGAAAACTCAGAACTGACTCTGTTCGTGATCAAATAAAAATAAATGAGTTTCAGAACCAGACCACACACCTGAGGACGTCCCGGGAAGAAATTGTCTTAAGGAACTCCATTTTTATCCTAATAAATGCCTCTTGAAGCTTTTTTGCCCGTCTTCTTGGCGTCAGAGCTACGCATGGATTTCCCTCTCTGTGATTGGACCGCTTCGCTCCGCCCCCACCACTAGGTGACTTGTTCGGAGTTTTGGGGCGGGGCTGACAAGAAGACGGGTTATATAGTAGGTGACCCCGGCGCTTCTGTACCTCTCCGACAAGCGTCAAAGTAAAGTAACCGACGGCGGGAGTCCACCGGAGACCGACCGTTAGCAGCTCGTGGAGATAAGTCACTATGGCCTCTAAAAAAGACGACGGCGGCTGGAAGAAGTTCCTGTGGAACTCTGAAACGGGAGAGCTGCTCGGTCGGACCGGAGGAAGTTGGTGTGAGTATATACCCCCCACCCAACCCCCCGCGTTATTTTCTCTCTGGGAGAACGGTTACTGAGGCTGCGGGAGCGCGCGCCGGTCCGCCTCGTGCTTCATGCCACCTGTTTGATTTGACTTTGCTGCATTCATGAACTAATGTCATTCTGCGTTTACTGTTAGACTTCCGCCGAAGTTCTGGTTCAGTTTGGTCAGGTGTGTTTTCTCACTAGCTCCGGTACCGGTGCTGTATCAGGGCACCACACAGCCGGTAGATGGGACATGTAGAGGACATGCTGGTTGTTGTTGGGGACACGTCGAGCTGTGCTTTCACGAGCTCTTAGAAGACAAACATGGGGTTAAAAATGCATCATAGTCCAAGGTGAGTCAAGGTGACGGGGCCTGGTCGTAAACGGCGCGAGCAATCGTTCCGTGTATGGTTCCTCTGATCCGGTGTCCTGTAATATAAGCAATAATACAACTGATTAACTCCTGCGACCTTTCGTCTCTGGTTTCCCGAGCTGCGCCCTACTGCGCATGTCTGTTCTACTTCAATGTCACTCGCTGCAGGGGAGCCACTTCCAGGATAAACACCTGGGCGCGACCTGGACTTGGTTGCTCCTGAGTAGCGGAACCAGGGCTTGGGCTCGCGCTCCTCTGAGGTGACATTTGTCCTTCTGAGGTCACCTGATTGCGCGTGAGGGGAATGTGCCATGCGCAGTGGCGTACTGGGGCTGAAAATGACAGTCTGGTCGGAAATGCTTTTAATTTGTAAGATAGATAAGGTTGTTGTGACCTCGTGACGTCATGCAGCAAAAAACCTGCATAACGCAATTGCGATAATTGTGTTTTATGCTCTAGTTACACTCCTTGTGCAGCCTGACCCATGGGAGATGTCCCAGAGCAGTGCAGTACTTCAAGTGCATCCACCTGACTAGTAGCGCCACCTATTGGTGCACCACTACCAACTTTACCTTGCAGAGTTGTAGTGACTACTTTATGCATGTTTTCTATGAGGCACAATAAGATGGTGATGTAGAAGGTAGCACGCATAGTTGGCACCCCCTGCTGGTGCATGTATGTAACTAGTATTTACCTGAGCAATAGTGCAGGTTCTTAAAATAATTACCCATGACCTTAATAATAATCCGGGCTTTGTGATTTGTGTCTTTTTAAAATTGTAAACAACAGTTTGAACTTTATGCTTCTCCAGCTTGTTGTGCGGGATCTCCACCGCTCCTTTAGCTGTGGTTCCACCTGAGCACTGTTGGTGTTAAGTGTCGCGTTGCAGCTTGGGGTCTGTCCCTTCTGGGATGGCCTGGTCCGGATCCATAGATAAGGAGATACTTCCCTACTTGGGGAAATTATTTGTGATTCAGTTGCAGATCTCTCAGGATATTCAGACGGATGTTTAGACACAGAGGGTGTCTTCCTACTCAGTAGGAATGTACTTCTGCTGCCTGTTTATGGATCATCTGCTGTTAACGGCCCAAAGAAAGCAGCTTATAAGGTAAATGTTCTGTTTCTGTCCCTCCTCCACAGTCAAGATCACACTGTTCTACGTCGTCTTCTACGGCCTTCTGGCAGGGATCTTCGTCGGCACCATTCAGGCCCTGCTCTTTACCCTGAGCGAGTACAAACCCACCTGGCAGGACAGAGTGGCCCCCCCTGGTAAGGAAGAGCTCCCTCCCACCTGTCTGCCTGAAAACTGCTGAGTAATGAAGAAAATCCTAAGCTTAGTGGCAGATTGGGTGAAGTTACGGAGTTCCTGTAACTTTATCTGCTCGAAGCGCGTACTCAGTGGAGCGGAAGCCAGCTCTCTGTTCGCTTTGCTGATGCGACACTCCAGCAGGATGTTGATGGGGAAAGTTATTATCTGGCTGTTACCCCGGCTTTCCACAGCAGCCGTCAGCAGCACGTTACTGCAACAGCACGTCATAGCTGCTGATAGGAACGGCTGTGGTCAACAGAACCTTTTCCACTGGAGCCGTCGGCAGCCGTCAGCAGCGCGAGTCGGACGCGTCTCAGGAGCAGCATGTCGCGGCCTTTACGCGCCGGTTCTATTTTCTACGCGCGACGCCTCTGAAACGGGTCAAGTTCGACATTTTTGGGGAAGGAAAGACAGGAAATCGGACGCGGAAATGGAGAGAAGCTCCCGAGATTTTCAGAATAAAGAACGTACTGCCTTCCGGTCGCTTTACTTTAAAAAAGGTTACTAACTGTGCGGCCCCGTGAGAAGTTATCACCTAGCTAGCGGTCTCCTTTGTTTTTCAGGTCCGTATTGGCGATTATAAAACGAACAGAACATAAAACACAAACATTTTGGAGCCATGTTGTAGTTTTCTCCTGCTTGTTGTTGTGTTTACTGACGAAGTCACTCGTGAGACTTCGTGCTCTGTCGGTGACAGCTGCTCCCCTGCTGATTCGCGTCTCGTGGGAAGGGCCAAGCAGCAGCTTACGCGAGCAAGACGTGCTGCTGCAGTAACGTGCTGCTGACGGCTCCCGTGGAAACCCGGGGTAAGACTCATTGGGTTTTGGGAATAAACACCCCAAACCAGGATGGTGTGTGTGGGTGGGGTGGGGGGGTCGTGGTGTACTGCTCCAAGTTGAACAAAGGTCACACCTCCTTTGGTTAGTCCAGGACCTGACAGACACTTCGCTATTTGATAGTTAAACCAAAGCGAGGCTCGACTGTTAGAGCATCTTAAACTTTATCTGTAATGAATCCATCATGGCTGTTCTTCGCCTACTGCCGTGTGTGTGATCGTTCGTATGAGGCAGCAGATCAAGCCTCCCCAGTGAACACACTGCTCAGCCTGGATTCCATGGCAGACAGGGCCCATCTGGGCTTTGGTGGAGCAGGCTGTTCTCCTGCAGCACAGGTTCAGTAGAATCCTCGCCTTTAATCAGAAGAAATCTGACTGCAGCTAAGCTAGTGGAGCTCAAATCCACAATTAGTGGTTAAAATTGGCTTCCGGGTGAGTTTTTAGATGTTTTTGATGCTCAGCAGAACTTTCAGCTGGTCCTAGCATAAAAGCTGAAAGTGGGGGTAACCCTATCTGTGTCCTGAAGGCTCAGGCCTCCTCTGAATATGCTGAAGGTTGTAAAAATGTACATTTCCAAGTCCATCGAGCCTTCCTGTTTCTTTGCTGTTGACGGTGGTTAAAATGTAAAGCGTACCATCTTTGCAGGCCTTTCACACACTCCACGGACAGAGAAGGCCGAGGTTTCGTTCAGATCGAAGGACTTTGAGACCTACCTGCCGTACACCAAAGCTCTGAAGGAGTTCCTGAGTCAGTACGATGAGGAGAAGCAGAGGGACCAGATGAAGTTTGAGGACTGTGGATGTAAGTCTGTTGTCCACTTGTTTCTTTTAATGTAGAAAGCTCGACGTTGAATGCCAACCTGTGCCCTATCGCACCTGCAGTGGAACCTGCCGAGTACAAGAACCGAGGGGACTTGGAGAGCGACATGGGCCAGAGGAAGGCCTGTCGTTTCTCCAGGAGCCTGCTGGGTCCCTGCTCAGGCCTTGATGACAGAGACTTTGGTTTCAAAGAAGGCAAACCCTGTTTGATCGTCAAGCTCAACAGGATCGTCAACTTCAGACCTCGGGTGATTCTTTATAGCATTACAGAAAGAGTTTGGGTTTGTAAGCAGGCACAGGCTGGTTGTTCATCCAGCCCTGAGGAACACCTTCTAACCCTGTTCTCCTCCTGCTTAGCCTCCCATGTCTAACGATACCATTCCTGAAGAGGTACAACCCAAGGTGCAGCCCAACGTGATCCCTCTGCACTGCACCCACAAGGTACTCCATCTAGTTATCATCTAAACGATGAAGCATCCTCCTATCCAGGTTTCTGTATACTTTGACACCACGTGCTTGTTAGGAACCTGGTTTCTTTAATCCTGCCTGTTTTCTTCTAAATGAATGAATCCAGAAAGAGGAGGACGCAGGTAAAATCGGGGAGATCAAGTATTTTGGGATCGGCGGCGGTTTCCCTCTGCAGTATTACCCCTACTACGGCAAGCGGCTGCACCCCCACTACCTCCAGCCACTGGTGGCGCTGCAGTTCACCAACCTGACCATGAAGACTGAGCTGCGTATTGAGTGTAAAGTGTACGGAGATAACATCGACTACAACGAAAAGGATCGCTACCAGGGACGCTTTGAAATCAAGATCCAGGTGGACGATTCGTGACCAAGACCAGGACCATAGCACCGTCCCTCATCCCACACACCCCCCCCCCGTTGACCCCCACCACATAGCAATTATCTGTAAGGATTGTTGAGTCAGTCATGACTAGTCCTGACGAGGAGGAAGTGCTTGTTGGGGGACGATGTGTAATCTGCTTTCATCGCTAGCTTCTACGCCTCTTTCTAGCTCTAGAATCAAATTTAGAAGAAGACGAGTAGCGTTAGGGCCAATAAATCTATTTATTCCATTGTAAATTACTTCTTCACAAGCCGAGGGATGCTGTTCACTGACGACTGAAGACCAATCCCATCCGTCCGTCCTTCTCTGTAGACCCTAGTTGTGGAGAGAGCAGTAGTTTCAGCATCCGGTGCCTCCAAATCTCGCCGTTCCTCTTGTCTTTCTGGCTTTCAGCAGGCTTTAGCAGTGGGGCTGTGCTCCCCCTCTCCGAATCAACGCACACTTGTCTTTACTTAATGATTGAAACAGTCGATTCACTCTTCTGATCTGCGGGAGGAGAAGGCTGCACTCCAGGAAATGTCTTTTACTTCTGTCGTTGAGTCATTTAACTTGTGAAGGGGTTTTATTACTTGGTTTTATGTCTTTATCTGTTTTGTTTTGCCTTGAATGTAGACTTGTGTGTCCAGCCTGTTAGACACCTTGGCCTGCTGTCAGGGCAGTGGTGCTAACTGAACATTTCTTCTCGTTTTTTTTTTTTTTGTTTGTTTTTGTTTTTTTGCTGGATTTATTGAAGCGTCATGGTGTAACTTAATGTTTTAACCATTTAAACATGGTGGAAGGATTTTATATTTATGCAGATGTACATTTTGTTTCCTGACAGATATTTTAATGTATAAATGCAATACCAAAGTGATGAGCTGGAGCGTGTCGGAGAAGCGATGCAGTGCTGATTTGTAGAATGTCACCATGCTAAGTGCTAAAGTCCACCTTTTGCCTTGCAGGCTTTCAGTGGTTAACCTTTTGTTCTGCGTTTATGGCCATGAACGATGTCTAAGTAGACGGAACAAGTAACAGATTAATTCCAGAACAAAGCTACCTTTTTGCTGAGCTCTGACCTTAAATGACTGGTATCTTAAATATTCCATAGGAACTCATGTTGGCGATGCGCTTAACTTGAGCAAGCCTTTCACCAGTTCACCCACCTTTATTTCTTCAAAGATGGAAACAAATAAAGTCATAGTGAACCTTTCTCGTGTTTTTATTTGACTAATCCACCAACGGCTGTAGACCTCTAGACTAATGAGGAAATGCAAGCTGGCGTAGGAGATCGCTGACAACGCTTCACCTGTAGTACTCAGATCTGCCACAAGAGGGTAGGAAACCTGTGATGGAGGAAGTTATGAAGAAGGTGCCAATCCTGATAGAGAAGTAGAGCTCTGAAGAAGTGAGGAAGGCTCATGATGCTTTGCAGCCGCTCAGAAATTTGTCCTGGTCAAAGGATTTCTAGATGCAGCAAAGGTGTTGAGGATCTGATTTGGTGGACTGAGGATCAGGTGTCTGCTTTTTGCAGATGTGGTCCTATTGGCTTTATCATAACGTGATCTCCGGCTCTCACTGGTGCGGTTTTACAACCGAGTGTGAAGCAGCTGGGATGAGAATCGCTCCTCTAGTCTGATAGGCGGATTGGAGCTGTGTCTGCAGTGATGCGGGCGTTGTACTGGTCTCGTGAAGAGAGCATAGTATGAAGGGGAAGCTCTCAATTTACCAATCGATCTACGTTCCTACCCTCACCTATGGTCTTGGGCTTTGGGTGGTGACTGAAAGAACGAGATCGCAGATACAAGCGGCCGAAATGAGTTTTCTCCGCAGGATCGCTGGGTTCTCCCTTAGAGATAGGGTGAGAAGCTTGGTCATCTGGGAGGGGCTCAGAGTAGACCCGCTGCTCCTCCACGTCAAATTAAGCGTCAAATTCCTAATCATTTGGCGCTCTTCTGGGAGCAGACATCCAGAGATGTTCAGCACACAAACCAGTCAGTGTGAATGGTAGTCTGGAAACCCATGTGAAACAGGCTTTAGAGGACGTGAAATACTTTAAAGTAACAGTGTGTATTTTCCCTGGCGATAGGGGGCCTTGCTTGTCTGTCATTGCAAGCAAGCAGTATTTTTTTGTCCAACGGATGGGCATTAGGGTCAAAAGTCTCAGAGCACAACCTCCAGCAAAAGACAAGTACATCAGACTCCCTTTCATCACTGGCAACGTAACAAAAAGGTGTTTCCATTACCGTAAATTCAGGGTAGAGTTTCAGGAACTTCCCGACATGCCTCTGCTTGACCCGGCCGGCCGAAGGCTGTTTTCGGGAGCTTTCTGAGTGCCTGCCCGGGGGATGGTTACTCCAAACGGCCCGATGGAGTAGCTGAGCAGAACCTCTGGTTAACTCACGCTGATTGGTTGTAACTCAGGAAAGGACATCAGCAGACGTCCAAAGCAACCATCAGTGGTGAAATTAGAAGAGTTGCTGGTGGAGCAGAATAGAAGCAAAGGACAATAAGCACAGATAACGCTTAAAATCTATCTCCCAACACCGGAAAACAGCAGAGTTCCCTCACAGACCTAATTAACGGGACTTTGTCACACAGCGCTGTAGAAAACTGCACTTCTTCTGGTCGTTTGTTACAAATCAGTAAATGCAGTTTGTCCTCACGGGTTCCCGTAGAAGGAAATATGGCATCACCCAGAGACGACAGGTTGTATCTTACAAAGCCACCAATACTTTTCAACAGCTGGGCATCATTTAATTCATTTTCAACACATTTCCACAGATGTTTCCAGAGATTAACGCTAGAAACGACACTTTAAACTCTCCTTTTCCTCTGAGGTCTGAATCACCCGCAGCACTTATGCTGGATTAAAGGCGTTCTTCTCATTTTTATGTTGATATAGGATGTTAAATGTGTTTGGTCAAATCTTAATAAACGTGTTGAATCCAAATGGTAGGTAATCATCCAACATCTGCCTTAGTACCAGAGGTTTGTGTCAGATCAGCAGCCATCTTTATTCGTGTTGACCCCAGAATTAAAGAGGTTGACTAGAGGAGAGTTTCAGCGGTACACGTTCAGTAGTTCATGAGATGTTGTGCTAAAACAAACCGATAGAGATCAGACTTTTTATTCCCCCACACACGCTGGAGGAACCCAGCGTGCTGCTCAAAGGAAGATTAAAAGGGATTTACACATTTCTCCTGAATTTCTTTCAACAATTCAAAGAATTTAGAGGAATCTCAGCCGGCCAAAGGAAACACCTGATCCCAGGCACGGTTGTAACTCAGATCTGCTGTCTCACCTGAGCTCACGGATGATTGGATGAACTGTAGAGGACCGGAGTGACTCTGCGGTTCTCTCACTGTGAAGTCATTCTGCTCTGCCTGCTAAGGCGGGGGGAAGGCCGTGGGATTGGGTTGCAGGCGTAGGTCTCTGTAATTACAGTAGGTGGCCTCCATGCAGCAGCTAACACAGAGATGCTGTTTCAGACCAGTTTTAATTTACCAGGAGCCCCACCAGCTGCTGATTAAATCACATTCCTGCTGATATAAAACACCAGGCGGCGTCTGCGTCCATAGCTGGCAGGAGTATAATTGCAGAAAGGATAATTGGAGGTGAGCTTCCCTCCCTCCAAGACATCTACAGGAAGCGGTGCCTGAGGAAAGTGGGGAGGATCATCAAGGACTCAAGTCACCCCAGCCTTAAACTGTTCAGACTACTTCCATCAGGAAGGAGGTTCTGCAGCATCCGGTCCAGAACCAGCAGACTGAGAGACAGCTTTTTCCATCAGGCCATCAGACTGCTGAACACTTCACAGACACCTCACCCTCCAGGGGTGTGTCCAGGGGGTGGCCTGGGGTAGCACATGCCACCCTTGGAATCTGATTGGCCACCTCACTGAATTCCTATTAAATAGACTTGTCTACAAAATGCTTGGGGTAGAAAAAAATCATAACCAATGGTGCCACCCATGCAGAAAGAAGTGCCACCCCATTTTAAAAGATCTGGGCACGCCACTGTCACCCTCACTACTGAAACTGCAACATTACACACTCCATACAGTACATTAATGCCACTGTTTTGCACATACCAACCACTGTATATTTTATATCTCTTATTTTATTGTTTACTTTATTCATTTGTAAAATATGAATATACACACTATACACACGCACACATGTAGAATAAATAAATAAAATACTAGCACACACATTTAATAATGTATATACCTTACATACTATACATATTATTACTTAGATTAGCCATTTTTATATTTTGCTTGTTTTTACGTTACTGTATTTTTGCACAACTGTTGCTGTGAAGCTCGCACACAAGAATTTCACTCTGTACTGTACCAGTGTACCTGCACATATGACGTGACAATAAAAGTGATTTGATTTGATTTGAGTCATCAGAAGCAAAGAGGGAGCCCAGCTTTCACACAGAAGCTTCTGCTCGATGGTGCTCTGTGAGACTCTTGTTTCCTGCGGCGTGGCAATGTGAGTCAGAGGGTTCCTGCATCCCAGCACTTCTGTTGGGTCATCTGGTGTTCCTGCAGCAGCTGGTTAAAGTCAACTTTAGCAGCAGCAGCTTGGGTTTCTGTGTGTGAGACAGACAGCTCAGCTCGGCCAGAGTGCAGACACTCAGCTGCTCACAGTGTGAAGGTCAAAGCAGCTGCTTCTTGCTGCGTCTGCATGAGCTTCATCCA